ACCCATGGTATGGCAGTGTCTGGCTGGCGCTCACGCGATAGGGATCTTGGTCGGGTAGTACGCCTTGTGAGCCAAGACAAAGGTCTCGGTGTCTCTGCTCAGGAAGTCATCGACGGCCATAGTTTGCGGTCAGGCAGGAGAAGGCCGCATGTCTCTGCGATGCTGGGTGGAGCCGGTGAGGCTCAGCGGTAGCAGCAGGCACTCTACGTCACAAGTTGTCTAAGCGCAGAAGACTAGAGGTTTTGACAGGAGGGGCTGCAAACAGGTTCGAGGGCGAATGCAGCGGGTGCGTAGGTTCTATGTGGGCGTGCGTTGGATATGTGGTAGGGTGGGCTGGCAGAGTCGCCGTGTCTCGCGGTGCTCCAGGCGTCACCATGGTCAAGCATCTTCCCCACACGCGAGCGAGATGCGCCAAGCCCTGAGCACCGCGACGCACGGCGAGGGCCATGACACGGAATGCAGCGGCCGTCATCGCGTCATCCACCAGCGTCGCCCACTGGCAAAAAGTGCATTTCGCCTCATCTTCCGGAGTTAGGTTGCATGCGCAATTGTTCGTAGCAACTCAGAAGCACAGACATTTACAGCGGAACCTCGGGCGGCGATTTTACACCAAAACGAGCTAGAATCTTCTCCGAGAATTTTGTCCATCGTCAAAGCTTCCATCACTACATCATATATACCATCACCCTCCCACCATCCATCTCTACACCCAATCTTCTGTCGCTTGCATTCCCTCCCGCAGCGTCTCTCACATCCACAATGTTGTCCTCAAGATTATCACGGACTGTAAGCAATTGCATGCATCTAAACATATCTTAACATTCTCTGACCTCATCATAGTTTTTGCCGCGTGCGGCTTCGGCGGCGCGACGCACACCCGCCTTCAGGGCCCCCGCCATGTTCACTCGCGGGTACGCTGAGGGCGGCGAGGAGAAGGTCAAGGGCTCAGTCATTGGTATTGACTTGGGTACCACCAACTCCGCCGTCGCTGTCATGGAGGGCAAGGTCCCTCGCATCATTGAGAACTCCGAGGGTACGTTCATCTAGATTTTCAGCCAAATTGGCCATCCCGCTGACTCAATCCGCAGGTGGCCGCACAACCCCATCCGTCGTCGGTTTCACAAAGGAGGGCGAGCGTCTCGTCGGTATCGCCGCCAAGCGCCAGGCTGTCGTCAACCCCGAGAACACTCTTTTCGCTACCAAGCGTCTCATCGGCCGAAAGTTCACCGACGCTGAGGTCCAGCGCGATATTCAGCAGGTCCCGTACAAGATCGTCCAGCACACCAACGGTGATGCCTGGCTCGAGGCCCAAGGACAGAAGTACTCGCCTTCCCAGGTTGGAGGTTTCGTCCTTGGTAAGATGAAGGAGACCGCCGAGTCCTACATGGGCAAGAACGTCAAGAACGCCGTCGTCACCGTCCCCGCCTACTTCAACGACTCCCAGCGTCAAGCCACCAAGGACGCCGGTCAAATCGCTGGTCTCAACGTTCTCCGCGTCGTCAACGAACCCACCGCTGCCGCTCTCGCCTACGGTCTTGACAAGGCCACCGACAACGTCGTAGCCGTCTACGATTTGGGTGGTGGTACTTTCGATATCTCCATTCTTGAGATCCAGGCTGGTGTCTTCGAGGTCAAGTCTACCAACGGTGACACTCACCTTGGTGGTGAAGATTTCGACATCACCCTCGTCCGCCACCTTGTCGACCAGTTCAAGAGGGAGCAGGGTATCGACCTGAACAGCGACCGTATGGCCATCCAGCGTATCCGTGAGGCTGCCGAGAAGGCCAAGATTGAGCTGTCCTCCTCCTCGCAGACCGACATCAACCTCCCCTTCATCACTGCCGACGCTTCCGGTCCCAAGCACATCAACACCAAGCTCACCCGCTCCCAGCTTGAGAAGATGATGGACCCTCTCATCAGCCGCACCGTCGAGCCCGTCCGCAAGGCCCTCAAGGACGCCAACCTGAAGGCTACCGACATCTCTGAGGTCATCCTCGTTGGTGGTATGACTCGTATGCCCAAGGTTACCGAGTCTGTCAAGAGCATCTTCGGCCGTGACCCCGCCAAGTCGGTTAACCCCGACGAGGCTGTTGCCATCGGTGCTGCTATCCAGGGTGCTGTTCTTGCTGGTGAAGTCACTGACCTCCTCCTGCTCGATGTTACTCCTCTCTCTCTCGGTATTGAGACCCTCGGTGGTGTCTTCACCCGTCTGATCAACCGCAACACCACTATCCCCACCAAGAAGTCCCAGGTCTTCTCCACCGCTGCTGACTTCCAGAGCGCTGTCGAGATCAAGGTCTACCAGGGTGAGCGTGAGCTCGTCCGCGACAACAAGCTCCTCGGTAACTTCCAGCTCGTTGGCATCCCCCCGGCCCACCGTGGTGTACCCCAAATTGAGGTCACCTTCGACATCGACGCTGACTCCATTGTCCACGTTCACGCCAAGGACAAGTCCACCAACAAGGACCAGTCTATCACCATCGCTTCCGGATCCGGTCTCTCGGACGCTGAGATCGAGAACATGGTCAAGGACTCTGAGCAGTACGCTGAGCAAGACAAGGAGCGCAAGAACTCTATCGAGGCTGCCAACCGCGCTGACAGTGTCGTAAACGACACCGAGAAGGCCCTCAAGGAGTTCGAGGACCGCCTCGACAAGGCTGAGGCCGAGAAGATTAAGGAGAAGATCGCTTCTATGCGCGAGTTCATCTCCCAGAGCCAGTCTGGTGAGGGCTCTGCTACCGCCGCTGAGATCAAGGAGAAGACCGACGAGCTCCAGAACGCTTCCCTGAGCCTGTTCGACCAGATGCACAAGGCCCGCTCCGAGAGCCAAAACCAGAGCGAGCAGCCTCAGCAGCCTGAGGGTGAGGGCGAGAAGAAGCAGTAAATGCTTTGATCGTTCAGCACTGGTTTTGTCTTTCTTGTTGATCGCTTCGTTACGTCCAAAAGTAGGCGTCTTGCATCCTGTCATGATTGGTCTGGTTTAGGTCACGTCTAGACGTGTACATGTCCCTACACATGTTTGAGCATCTCTGTATCATACTTTCCGACGGTTTCTCTTCTCACATTAGCGTTTGTTTTATTACCCTTACGGATCCTTGGTACACGTCGGAATTAACGAAACAGTGATATCCTCTGGTGGTCAGGACACGATGTGGAAGGGACGATATAATGGTGGAGTCATGAATGTACCATAGTCTAGAGACGCGAGATGGTAGCACTCCGCTTACTTCTCCGCTCTACAATCTACGATTTGAAATGTTCATGCTACCGTCCTTGCATTCGCCTATATCGTGATCGAGTGTTGCATGGCAAAATTGTACATGCCACAACTCTTGGCCCTAATTCGTAGAGAGGTCTATCGAGGTCGGACTACTTTTCGATGATAGCTACACTATGGGTTTACATGATCTGCTCCGTGCCCCGCTATCTGAACCTCGGGATAACCTCATAATGTTGACCCGCTAAAGTCTTACGTCATTGCCGGCCTTGCAACCGTTGGCTTCCGGCCTTTGACCATGCGCGAAGTTAACCTCAAATCGAACAGCCTCTTCCCATGACTCCATCTCACATTGCAGTCAAACAAGGTTTCCTCATCACACGCGGGACCAACATCACTAAATCGATCGTCACCAAGTCCATACACGGTTCATTGAAGTACTCTTTGCTTTGTACACCCACCAAGATCGACCCGTTCGGTACTCGATACCGACGCCCTTTGAGCATTCGACTCAGCTCGACGAAGACCAAGCCCAAGATGACAGACGCAACGAACCACCCCCTCTCCGGTCTCTGGCAACCGACGCAACTTCAAAAACTGCACTACGGCGCCGACTCAGTCAAACAGCATCTCCTCTCATGCCTCCCAAAAGAGTCAAGCAAAGCCTTCATTATCACCGGAAACTCACTTGCTAGCAAGACGCCCTTGGTAAAGCAAGTCGAAGAGCTATTGGGAAACAAGCACGCAGGCACCTTCTCCAAGATCGGCGAACACGCACCTGTCGCCCAACTCGATGAAGCTACCGATCTAGTCAAGAAGGACGAAAGTATCGATACGGTCATCTCCATTGGTGGTGGAAGCCCAATCGACAGCTCCAAGGCCATCAGTTACCGTCTGAACGAGAAAACGGGAAAGTATCTATACCACATCGCGATCCCCACCACGCTCAGCGCAAGTGAATGCACCCTGATGGCTGGCTACACGCAATCCGATGGTGTCAAGACGGGTGTGCGAGCCAAAGAACTCGTTCCGCATTGCGTAATCTACGATGCCAAATTCGCTCTGCACACCCCCGAGCGCCTGTGGATGTCAACAGGTCTTCGTGCCATGGATCATGCGATCGAGCTGTTATACCATCCCACCGCCACCGAGATGCCTGCCAGATGGTTAACGCTACAGTCCGCGGCCACCCTCTTCGAAGCCCTGCCAAAGTACAAGCAAAACCCCAAAGACGAAGATGTGATCACAAAGCTTCAACTCGCTGCTTTCGCTTCCCTGGGTTTTCTGGGCTATAATATCAAGGGTGGTCTCGGTCTGTCTCACGCTCTCGGTTACGCACTGGGTTCTCCCTATAGTATCCCGCACGGCATTACGTCTTGCCTCACCCTCGGGCATGTGGTCAAGCTCAAAGCTCAAGACCCCGCTGCAGCGGAGCAAGTTGCGCGTCTTCTTCCTTTCATCGGCGAATCAGCGTCTGGTGATTCCAAGACTGATGCGGAGAAGGTTGGCGATAGGGTGCTGAAGTTAGTCAAGGATCTGGGGTTGGATAGCGATTTGAGGAATTACAAGGTGGGTAAGGATCAGATTCCGGTGATCACTGAGAGGGCGACTGGTGGGCAGAAGGAAGGTCAGGTTTATGATGCTGTTGAGGGACTGGTTAAGGGGTTGTTTGTTTGATTTTGCATTTACTTCGCCTTCTCTACCCTTCTACCCCCCTAAGCCTTAGGCGTTCCTCTAGCAATTAAAAGCACGCGAAAAGCCTTTCATGTTCACATAAAGTAAACTAAGCTTTAGCAGCACGAACCGCATTGATCTTTCCAATCAAGAACTCGCCAGCCTCCTCCGCGTCATCGCCATAGCTGAGATGAGGAAGTAGAACAGCCCCTGCGAGGTTACCGTCACAAACCGTGTCGCGAATAAGCCCACCGCAAAAGATTTGGAGCTTGTCGCGGGGGAAGTTGGGGATTTGCTGGTTGTCACGGCGGTTCTGGGTGTCACCAAAGGTGACAACACCCGCGATCTGGTTCTTGACACTGGTGGAAAGATCCTCGATAGCACGGTGGTTGACTGCTGCACCTTGACTGTGGTCATGATTAGTCTCTGAATGAGTTGGAAACAGGGCGCAACATACGAGTAGCCACCGCAGACGATGATAGCCGAAGGGCATTGACTATTGATGTCTTCAAGAATGCCGCGCATCTCGCGCTCAGAGACGAGATCGGTGCCGCCGGGCAAATAGTTGGTGGAAAGCAGCGCTGCATAGTCGACGCCCTCGATAGCCAGGTCGTCACCGTATTCGCGGCGAAGCTCATCGCCTAGTGGCTGACCGATGATAGAGCCCTATTATCGCAAGTTAAACCACAAAACAACCACCCAACCATCGGATAACTTACCATGTTGCCCGCTTCGGTAGATCCTCGAGCCCAAACAAAGATGACATCCCTACATCCGCCACCGAAACGGCTGGAGAACTCATTCTCCGTCAAGCTAGTGCGGTCAAAGAAGATTTGACGTGTCGCGACCACGGCAGATCCAGAGTTGGGGAGCGCGATAGGCGTGGCAGAAGAGGCAAGGGCCAAAGCCAGGATGGAGATGATGGTGTTCATCATGATGAAAGTAAGAGCGAAAGATGTGTTTGGTAGAGAGAATACGGCGTAGAAAAGCGAAGGCGAAGACGAAGAGAGAGAGAGAGAGTGAGTGAAAGGCAGAAGAAGCTCGCTGTTGAAGCTTGCCGGATGACTATGAGGTGAAGATGCCTCATACTTATACACACGATTCTCTCAATTCCCCTTCTCATCCCACGCTCTCCTCTCTACCCGAATGATCTCGTCTCACCATCAATATCTTGGTGTATTCCATGACCAGTTCGCCGACGTTGGTGCTTGAGCCGAGGCAGCTCTTACTCCTCTTCACTACCCAATTAGCTACAACCTGAGGAGTTTCTTTCCAAGTGGCCAAGGCCGTGGTATTATACCAAGACACGGGGAGGAAAAGTAAAGCCTTAGATTAGAAGTTGGTGTGTGAGATGGCAGATCGAGATACAGGGCCCATCCTAAACGTTACTCCCGGTAGTTACTGGACTGATCTTGGAGGAGTTTAGAAACACCAATAGGTGCTCATAGAGCAATCGACGCACCTCGGCAACTCCTGATGTACGATCGCATGACTCTTAGATCATCTGGGGTGCATCGGCAATTCGACGCGAACGGGATCTTTTCAAGGTTGAACTCATCGAATTGTGTCGCAGGCCCTTGCGGCTGATCGGGCTTGGCTTGCCGTGATGGAAAGCTAGGTCGGGATTGTCGTCGTTTGTACCCGTCCACGCAGAAATATGTGGGACCATGGGATTAGGCGTCCCGTCACTGCGATGAACTGTTGCTTACTGTAGTCTTCGCGGTCGCAAGCCACAGCAATATCGATACCTCAGGCATGCACCAACCTCATACTGACGGTCATTGCTTTCGACCTAGACAAAAGACGACTGTATTCAAGATTGGTGATGTGTAGCCGTGAGCAACTCAAAAGAACGTAATCGTTGTAGCGTGTATGTTACAGCTACACATTACTGTCAAACGTACACAAGTTCCCATGGTATATCGTTCCCGATTTCCAACTGGCCACAACTATGCCTCGGTACAAAAATTGAATAGATTAAAGGTTCACATAGCCAAGAAGATGTTTTGTGCAGATGATCGCAACACCATCGACACCCTTGTCAAACATGTCACAGTTGCCGAGGTCCCATTTCAGCCACCAGAGTCATCCAATCTTTCAACGACACAATGCCACTCAACCTCGCCGTATCTTCCGGTGACGCTTGATAGGCATGGAAATTGTGTTCGAGGTTGGCAAGCTTATAAGGCACTGTTGACTCCTTCCAAGATGTGTGTAACAGCAAGTTCTACACGAGCAGATCAAGTTCACTGCCCATGAAGATGCGCTACATTTCCATTGCTCCTCTTATGGCCTTTGCATTCTTTGCCACCTCGTCTGCCCAAGAGGAATGTCCCGAGCTGCCTGATAGCGGTGTGGAAATTGGGGAGCCAGTTCCAATTGTTCCTGGCGATGTCCCCGACGGATGTTCAGACTACGAGATTCTCGTTGGTAAGCCACAGTCCAAAAACCGCGAATTTGTCTCGTAGCATTGATATTGTTGTTAGCTCGCGGAACCAGCGAGCCTAGCTTTCCAACCTACGGCGTCATCGTTGGTGACCCTGTTGTGAGCAACGTTTCAGCGGAACTCTCTGGAGTACAGGGATATCCGGTTCAGGTACGATGTTCAAATAGTGCTTCGAACATAGCATCACTAACTACAGTTCTCTCAGTACCCAGCCAGCTCGCAAATCATTTCCGGTGGAAGGCAAGGCGTCGATGACATTGTTCAGCGCTTGACCTCGCAGTCTTCCGCCTGCCCCAATCAGACCTTTTCTTTGGTTGGTTACTCGCAAGGCGCAAGCATCATGCACCGAGCGGCGGACAGACTACCCACTTCTCTATTCCCCAAGATCAAGTCGGTTGTCATGTTTGGAGACCCAAATTTGAGGCTGGGCGTAGTTGGAGACAAGTTCCCCAACGGCCTGAGGGCAAACGTGCTGCAGATCTGTGCAAAGGGCGATCCTGTAAGTCTACCAATCGTGCTATACCAGGGTGGGAAACCGACCATGCTGACAATGAAATGTAGGTCTGTGACTCTGGGTCCTGTCAGTTCTATCACTTGACCTACATCCGTCCCGAATACATTGAAGGCGCCGTGACGTTCATCGTGAGGGCTTTCAAGGGTATGACCCTCTAGAGCGGTACTAGTGGTTTACCGGTCGTGGGCGGTTGCTCTGATATATCGAGGCATCTTGAGCAAGTATCCGGCCCTCCAGAATATGTAAGATTGAGGAATAGAGTATTCAAACAAGTGATATACATATGTATATAATCTGAACCGGAGTGGTGACCTGTCAACGCCAACGCCAACGCCAACGCCAACTCAACACTGAATCGGAAAGTGATGATAGCAACCCAGAATAGACGCCGTTTGAAAAGAGCGACCCGGGAGATGAATGCCATGCCGCGAAAAGCGTCTTAACTAGCAAGTTCCCCAATCACGCCGGCCACGTAGCATAGTGCCGAGGCCCAGATAGCCGTTTTGACTATACCCGCTGCTTTACCGCCCTTCTTCTTATCTTTGGTCTTTCGTTCGCTCGAATCTTGTTCTATGCTAATCTCTTGATTGCTAACTGCTCGCTCGGCAGCCTGCCTACGCTCAGTGAAATCTTTCTCGAGTTGCTCCTCGCTCTCTTCTGGCCCAACGTAGCCGGTAGGCGAAAGACGTGCCGTTCCATCTATCGGATTAATGTAAGTTCGTTCTCCTGTGATACCGGCGTCCTTGTTGTGCTCCGGTGCGGTTGATGGATCGGCCGTTTGGAAGGGTCTGGTAGACGCTGTGGGGTGGAGACCGCCGCGCAAGACGAGCAAATACTTATTCGCTTTGATGATCTCAAGTCCATTCTCAATGTACGGAATGAACTTAGCGGGCTCTTCGAGAATTGATAGCGCTTCATGTAGTGGTATCACAGGAGGAGCCTTGTGGGATTCCGTTGTTGTAGAGGTGGTCAGTGAAAGCTTGCCGCTGTGCGGATCGTGCAAAAGGATTGTGTAGATTGTTGGTGAGCCCGTTTCGGGCGAATGCAATGATGCGCCTGACTGAGGTGGTTCACCAACAGTGTCGTCAGTGCTCGGTTTCGGGTCTAGAATGGCATGTTCGGTCGACGATGCAGTGTCAGCAGCGGTAGAGGTTCCCTGCGTAGTTTTTGGGGCAGCATCGATTGCTGTGACTTCTTCTTCGCGCACGGTATCCGCGGCAGTTGGGCCGCTGGCGTGATATGAGGTGTCGCCCAATGTAGGATCATCCTTCAACATGTCAAACTTCTTCACGTCATGATCTTCGGTCAATTTGCTTTCCTCAACCGGACAGGCGCGCTGCTCGTGATCAGTGGCGACAGGACCAGAACTATCCTCATTTGAGTTTCGTATGTTATCAGCCACTGGGTAGTCGTCACGTTCGTGGGTCACCTTCACGTCGGCCTCTGTTGCGCCTCTCTTGAATGGCTTTTCACTCTCTAAGCTCTCCAAAACGGGTCCGAACGGTCTAAACAGGCTATGTGCAAGAGGTCCTCGCTCTTCAAACGATTTGTTCGGGGTTGCCTTCGGTATACGCGCGTATCCATCATCTGAGAGCCCACGCATAGCGGACTTCTGTGCATCGACCTCATGGGCGAGACGTTCTTCAGCAGCTACCTTGGCACGAAGCTGGGCTCTGTCGGCATCACTCATAGCGGAAGACGTCTTGGTCTGGGATGATTGCTCATGGTCCTGCGAAATTTCCGGAGCTGGAGAGTCGGGGAAGATTTTGATGTCCTCCCAGAGATGTGGAGCCACGCCATAAACGAGCATGGCACGTTCCAGCAATCGAGCTAGGGCCATCTGCGTATCTCTAAGAGTCAGCAAACTGTTCGCAACAGCTTTGTAGTTTGCGAGCATGCTTTGATCAATTTCGGGGTCCTCAAGCCGGGCCTGTAGACTCCAGATGAGATAACGCGTAAGGTGAGCGTTCTTCTGGGTAATTTTCGATGCAATGCTCAGCCGCCTTTTGAACGTTGGTGAGACGTTCTTTGTTGCGTCCGAGTCGCCGAGATCTTGGAGCAAGGCGTATGCCTTATTAAGGTCGTTGTCTGTGCTCTGGTACCGGAGACGCAATTCCTGGATTGCCCTCACTTTCTTCGGTGTCAATAAACGAAGCTTTCCGGCTTCTGAGCGTTGTCGCAGAGTGTTGATAGCAGAGTCCAGGAGGTCCTCATCCGCTTTCATACGCCTCAAGAGAGGTTTAGATGCTGGAATGTCAGCCTCTAGGTCTTCGATCACTTGCTTCATCGTCGTGCGACCCTTGCGAATATGTGCCAGGATCTTGTCGAAGAACAGGCGGGTTTTCTTCGCATCCGCTTCTTCCGTCGGGTCTTGCCAAAAAAGACTAGAGAATTTTGCACCGCTTTCTTCGAGCCAGGACTTCATCCGCTCGACGCTCGACTCCAACTGGCTCTCATCTGCTTTGTATGGGGTTTCGTCCATCTTTGTAGTCGTCTTGGGCTCGCTGGATTCTTGTGAATCGAATGAGATCTCTGGCCGCTGCATTTGCCGTTCGATTCGACGGACGTATTGGTCATTGATGATCTTGGACTCAAGCATCGGATCCATACCGGTCTTTGCGTTGGGGGTGCTCTCGAATGTGCTCTCCAACCTAGCCCGATCCGCTTTTTTACGTTCTTCGTCCAGGACCTTGCTCCTTCTTGCGGTCATGTTCGCACGAATCTCGTCCGCACTCAAGAAGTCCAAGTCGTCTTTGGGCAACTGGCTCAATATTTTTGACGTTGACCTCACAGATGTGACGCTGCCTTGTGTACTGGGTGTCTCCTGCGGTGGGAGGTGTTCTTGCATGGAAGGTTGCTTCGTGCGTAGAGGACCTGAGCTTGGAGGAAGCGACGGGAGGGTTTCCTGTATATGTGGTTCTGAGGAGAGCTCGTGAGTCCTGTCAGCTGAGAATGCTGACGTGGAAGACTCGTCGCCAGCCTTCGCCATGGGCGCAAGGTCAGCATCAGGCTTTGCTACGGCGTCCTTTGATATCCTCCTTTGCAGTGTAGTCTCTCTCCAGCTGCCTGTCTCCGCCGTGCCGTGTCGTTGCGCATCGTCGTGTTCGGGCTTCTCTGTCAGGAAGCGATCCACAAAGGAAGGCTCAGTACCGCGTGCGGCCGTGCTGGATTGTTCGATTTTCGTAGCCGCATCCGTTTTCGTTTTCGCAATATATTCTTCAAACGACTCCGTGCTCTTCGGTCGCGTCGGCTGCTCATGGTCGTAGTCCCGCGCTGTGGCACTACGTGCGCTTGTTGTAGATTCGGCTGACACTCCTGAGTTGCGGCCAACAACCTTGACATGAGATTGCTCTCGCGGTCTCCTCAGATCAGAGGGTGATTCGATGCCAGTCGGGTCGTCGGGGAGCAGTCTTGCCCTGAATGACGGTTGTGGGAAGTGTGATTCTCTTTCCCTACGGATATCGCGCTCTTCACTATCGATCTTGACCCGTCGCAGGTAGTTCGAATCGACACTGTCAGTCTTGCCTTGCTTCGGCGGCGACGCGTTATCGTCGTGGCTCTCCATCTCTCTCAACATCCACTTAGGAATGCTATTGGCAAGCCATTCCCAGTCCTTGTTGCCCTTGCCACTCAACCTATCGTTGCTAGCACCGAAGATGGCTTCGTATGGATCATTCATGAGTTTCCTTCGCCACTGCTGGTACTGCTCTACCTGCAACCATTCCAGGTTGGACATGCCGGATGGACGTTTGTTGCCATTGTTGTCTTCGTGCTGTGCTGACTTGGAGGGCGTGCGCGAGAAGCACCGCGTGCGAAGGGCAGCGTCGTCGGAGCGGAGGATGCGTTGCGCATAGCGTTGGAAAGGAGCGAGTGTCGGGTCCCGGCGCCACCAAGTCATGATGGAAGCCGTCAGGGGAATCAGAGGGAGAAGGGATGCAGGAGGTCGGCTGATAGTCCTAGCCCTGTGGCTTGTCAGAGATAAGAGGTTACATGATTGCAAGCAGAACATACCGTGATGCCTATCGCAAGTCTACTGTCCAAGGCACCGACAGCTCCTCGGAACTAGCCTAGATAAACGGATAGTAGTTACATCGATAGCCCGACGAACGATGCTGCAGATAGTGGCGCACTCCAGGGACGAAAGCAATGCTGTCAAGAGCGTGTAGGGATAAGATCAAGAACAACTAAAAGGCGATGGAAGACCAGGCAGCCTTCAGGGAGTGATGGTGTCGCCATATCCCCGCGTAAGCTCCGTGCCGCTTATCATGTTTCGCGGGGTACGTTCCCGCGTGATCGTTTGTTCGCGTCACCATCTTACTGGTCCCGGTCGTCCAGACTGCTCGCGCCACATGAGGCGCTTTTCCATTTAGCTGCAGGTGGTATCGCTGATGAATTCGTTGTGCATCGCCTTCGGTTGATGGATATCAGTGAGGCTTGACGCGTACCAAGTCGCGTCTCTCATGCGACGCCGATAAGGCGATAAGGCAACAGCGCTACGCCCCATTTGATCTCTCGGGGGCCTCTCGCCCTCAGCACCAAATCCGCGATGGGAACTTTCATCTGATGCTCACGATTCTCGATTGCTATGTTTACCACAATCTTATAGGCGATAGAATCACTCCGAGCAATCTATCTACAGCTGTCAAGGTCGGCGCGCATTCATCATCCCCGTCTCGGCGTGGCACCCGATGTACTCGAAGAATTGCTGGTCCGGCTCCAGTACGTAAACCTCATGGAATAACCGGAGAGACAACACGTTGTTGAGCTTCTTCGCATACATCAGGAAGCCTCCGAAGATGTTGATATGCGTCTGGTGGCTTTTACTCCAGTGCTCAAGCGACGCCAGGTCATCGAAATAGCCCAAGCCGAACGTTCTTTCACGGCCCGCCTCGAACGACGTTGAATCCACAGCGTCCCATAAATTCATCGCATAACACCCAACCTCGCGCCCTTGGTCGCGGAGAAACCTCATGCCTTCGACAAGCACCGGATGCATTGTATCAAGGTAGAGTTTGCGCTCTTCGGGTAGCGTGTCTGACCAATCCTGGCCCGATCGAATTACGCACAGATTGGGCTTGCCAAATATACGGACACGTTTTGAGGCGCATCCGTCATCACTCGAGCCATTTGCGCTGCCATCATCAGAACACCGTCCATT